TATCTTTGCCAATATCTATTTCCTTAAAACATAAATCATCAATAAAGATGACCTGACCCTTCAACTTAAATAAATTCATGTTTATTTCTTTTATAGTTTACAACTTAAACTTCCTGTTAGCAAATAAGCTTTGTTATCCTAACGACGTAGTGTTTAGGCTTAACAATAGTGAACTAAAAGAACTTTATTCCAAGAAGGATTTAAAATGTCTTGGCATTTATAGATTTTAATCTAATTTTTATTTTTATTTTTTATTATGGTAATTTATTACTTAACCTAGTTAAAAGATTTATTCACTCTTTTTATAAAATAATTAAAGCATAAACAAAACTAAACTGAATTACCAAATTTTCATTATTTACGGTGTTAGACCTGGAATTATATCAAAACCAAATAACAACCCAAATATTTTAATATCTTAAGTATCTTGAAGGTCTTTCCTAAAAGAAATAATTTTAACGATCTTAGGTTACACATCAATTATAAATTATGTGATCACGAAAGCTTAGTATTCTTATTTTAATGTATATAACGTATTATGGTTATTCAACACCAAACTTTAATGGATTTAATGGTTTAAAAATATATGCAGTTCTATATGAAAGATTAAAATAAATAGTTTCTTTAATCGTTCTAATTGTATATTCGCCTGTTACTATACATACTTGTCTAATCTCTACATAAACATCACAATTAATGTTAATAAACTTTAATCCATAGATAGTAGTTTGATAAATAACAGTTGTTCTCGTTCAGTCTCTTGATCGTACTCTAAGAAGAATCCTTCCTTGGGAATAATTGAAGTAATTTTGAAATCCGTGGAATTGGCGTATCTACCATCCAATATTGGAATGGCAATTAATATAAGGCTAAAGTAAATCCTAAGATTTAAGATATATTGCACAAGAAATAAGATATTTCCGTCTTCAGCTCTTTATCAAAAATAATAAAATATTGTAATTATTTTAATTATTTTTTATAATTAATTTTTAATAATTACTAAAATATTTATATGATTCTTATCACTCGAAGCCAAAGCCAGAAGTATTTATTATTGATATTATACAGTGAAATCCTTTTATGAATTGTAAGTTAACAAAAATTCCAGCTTGATCAGGTAACCATTGATTAGTGACAACATCAACATAAGTAGATTTGAAATCATTTTCTTATTTCCTGTTCTTAGTACTTTTAAGTCAGTAGATAATATTATTTCAGTATTTCCCAGCTTACTGATGGTTTATTGGGTGGTTTAATTTATTTTAATATTTTTAAGAATCCTGGGATTAATTATTGATGTGAACAAGCTGTATTTGCAAATAAACTGGAGTCATAATTATAGGCGGAGGATTAGTTAAAAATTATATAACCTAACTATTTTTTGAATTTGATGTTAACGTTAATATACTTATATATTTTTTATTTGTTCTTCCCTGACAGGTCAAGAAATATCTCAACTCTGTTCTAATGATACGAAATTAGACATTTGAGTGGTCGAACTCTTTGGGAATTGTTAACAAGCTCGATTATATCAAAGATTTGTATTTTAACAAATTTTATTTTTTATTCAAATTGTTGGTTTGTCATATAAATCTTAATCAATTTAGGGTTTTGACGCGATTTCTAAAACAAGTTGGTAAAACAAGATACGGTGTTGAATGGCATAGATGTAAGCTTCTTTTTTCCAAAAGTTAAAGTATTGGCTGATGAATTATTTTAATCTACACTAATAGATGGTTTAATCCACGCTTTGGTACGGCTGATAACCTCAAGAAACTTAAAATTCATATGAGAAAGACATTAAGTTATGTTTGATGTATGTTTCTTCAACACTTTTGATTATAACATTTTTTTTTGATTTTGAATTATAATAGTTCTTATTTTTCCTGATAGAATCCACAGTTGGAACAACTCCTAGATAAGAATATGTGAAAATATATAATCCATTTAATAAAATTGAATATTGTGACCTAGAGATTAAGGAAATATTAAATGTCCCTGTAATGAACTTTGAATTAATTAAATAGATCAATTGGTTGGTCAATTAATTCAATTTTAATAGTATACGTATCGATGCAGTAAAGCATTACAACATAGTTTTATGATGTGTTCATTCAAAATCGTGGAGAGTAATGTACATTCAATCGGTAAAATAGCGAATTTTAATGCAGATTTGTAAGATCTTATTAAGGCAATAGATTGTGCTTTAGAGTATATACTATTCAAAACTTACAACCTTATATTCTTATCTAGATATTAATATGCATGAAATAGAAATGCTATAAATGATGATAGAAAATCTTTTTAATTATAATAGTATATTTGGAAATTTTTTTTTTATGATCAACTGGTAATTGATGAATTTTTTTGAGTTGATGTTTTAAATATCTTTAGAATGTAAATTCATTCATTCAATCATTATTTTTAATTGTTGATTATGGAGATTTAACTATTCAACTTTAATTGTAATGCGTTGACCTTTTTCAGGTTGATATATGATAAACACTAATTTTTTTTAAGTCATTATAGGTTTATAATTTTATTTAATATAATTTCTTTATTATATAGGTATTCTAATAATATTTCAAGGAACTAAACAAGAATTTACATGACATCTCTTGGGAAATGATCCATTTAATCATTAAGCACTTGGGACATCATCTTACTCAATGTCTCCCATATCTCGTAAAGCATTATTTGAAGCATTCTTTTCTTTGCTATTTATCAAAGCTTGGATAGATGAACATATTTGTGATTAAGACAAGACATTATTCATCGTAAAAATAACCAAATATATATTTAGTTATACAAGGAGACCCATTGATAATGTTTTATTTAATGTTAATAAAAGTTTCTATTAATGGATCTTATAATGTTTTAGTTCAAATTGACGGTGAAGGATTTTAAATGTCTTGATTTATTTAATATAATTTGTATGGTAATTTATAACATGACACGGTTAAAAGGAACTACCTAATATTTATTCACTCTTTTTTATAAAATAATAAAGACTGAATCAAACGTTAAAAAATATTTATGTCCAAATTTTAGTCATTTTCATCTCATGATCAAAGTTCTTTAAAGTGCAATTTTTCAACGTGATGCTATGAATTTTGAAACTGTGTATTGCAAGTATTGTATAATTTATTTCATTCAGTTAATACATTTTCACATTTAGAGGATTATATGTAAAAATAAAAAACTGACATATAAAATCCTGTTTTGGGTTTAAAAGTAAATACTAATTAGTGATTTGCTACATTATATGATTGTATGAAAAATACAATAAATATGAACGTACAGGCAGTGTTGTCATAGGACATTGATGGGACACTGATGGGACATAGATGGGACAGATAGGACATTTGGGACATAGTGTGGGACAGGTTGGGACATATAGCTGGGACAACAAATCTCTGGGATATCAAAAATGTACATCACTGCGTACAGGTATTAGGTATATTTCTTTATTATTAAAATGTTGATTTACTATCGATTTTATGGCAACCTCCCAAATCTTAATTAATCATTTATTTATTTAAATTCTGTAGGTAACTTTTGTATTAAACTATTCAGGAATCCTTTGTAACTATACGTTTAATATTTTTGTAGCTTTTTCAATTCCTAAATAAAATTATTTGTTTCACCTAATACCCCATAGCCTCATCCCAAACAAATTATACTGAATCAAATTTATAGAAATTTTAAATCAATAGTAAGTAAAGTAATTAAAAATTTTATTGGATAATAATATCATAAGATAAATACATATTGAAGAAAAACAAAAGCAAAACTATTTAAAGCTAAACTAGCAGAAGCACTTTAACATAGGGCAAGCGAACCCACTATATTTGCCGTCAATTATATGAAACGAAAGAATACTTCTTTCTATATTTTTGGTCCTTAAATTTAGGGAGTAAATTCACCGAATCACTTAAAATAAGGCCATTTGTATATATATATATATTTTTAGAAAATAACTAGACAGCACCGCAGGTAATTTCATCTGACCATGTGATTATGATTATAATATTACGTAATATGCATTACGTGTTTGATTATCAATAAACTATTTTTTTTATTACGGGTTGTTTTTTAGTTTACATTTCACATTTTCGTTTTGTTACGTTAACCTACACTCTTTTTCCCTTTCTTCTCATTACACATAATGGATGAAAATATTAACGAAAATTCTAGTAATGAAAAAAATGAACTTTGCACTACATTAGTCACAGGTACAACATTTCAAACTTGGGAAGAACTTGAGGCTCACCTAGAACGGTATGCATTGCAAGAAGGATTTTCTTATAAAAAAACAAGAGTTGATTATCATTTGAGTCAAGACAAAATGAAATGCTTAACAGCAGAACAGAAAAAATATGAAATTAAACGAAGAACTTATGAGTGTACTTATTCTCGAATCACACATCAAAAAAACTATTAATCTTAAAAATCAACGAAATAGAGAAATCCAGCAAACTAACTGTCCTTAGAGAGTCAATGTAACAAGACCTAAAAAGGAAAATCCTATTGGTATAACTTCCGTTAAACTTGAACACAATCATGAAATGAATCCATTGGTTAATGAAATGGCCCCTAAATTTCGGAAATTTACACAGCCAATGCTTAACGATGTTGAATTTTATGTGAAACATGAGACAACCAGTGCAAGGCAAATATATCCACTATTACATGCAAAATTTCCTGATCATCTGATTTTTAAGAAAGATTTATATAATGCTATACAAAAGTTTAAGGTTGGGCAAAAAGATACTATCGAAAATGATACTGCAAATCTTTTACACTATCTTTATGATAAAAAGCAACAAGATCCTGAATGGTTTTTTAAATTTTAATTATCTGAAGAAGGTCGAAGATTAGTATCACTAATCTGAATGTCACCTAATCAAATTTTTTATTACATAAGATTTTACGAAGTTTTGATTTTTGATTGTATAGCTGGAACAAATCATCATGATATGGTCTTATGCTTATTTCTTATTGTTGATAACAATACAAGATCTCGATTGGTAGCAAGTGCTTTATTAGAAGATGAAACAGAAAGTTCATTTATTTGGGTTTTACAACAACTTAAAAAAGTATCAAATGATTTTTATTCTCGGGTTATATATACAGATTGTGATCCTGCAATGGCAAATGCTATTAGTTTCGTTTATCCAATGACAAAGCATAATTTGTGTATATTTCATATTGATCTTAATCTGAAAAAGAATTTAAGACCAAAACTTGGAATTCAAAAGTTTAATAAATTTCGGTCTGAATTTTTTTTATGTCGTAATAGTCTTGTTACTGAAGTTTTTGAAGAAAAATGAAAAATTTAATTAACAAATATTCGGAAACAGCTAAATATTTACAAAGGATGCTTGAACCAACAAAAGAAAGCTGGGCAACTTGTTATATAAACAAAGTTTTTAACTGTAGAATAAATAGCACTCAACGAATAGAATCACTTAATCGGTTACTGAAAGAAACTGTTCAAAAAACTTTCTTTTATGTCAACTTGAAAGTGAAATTGAAAATATGTTTAATAATGAAGTGAAATATGAACGTATAACTAAAATGCACAATTCTTTGCCGTGTCAAACTTTAGATGATGTGCCTTCAAAATTCTTTAGACATATTAATGAGATTTGCAAAGAATTTTTAACACCACATATTCTTGCAGTAACACAAAATCAGATGAAGCATTCATTCTTTTACGATGCTTATTTGATGGATAGAAACTTTATTCAACAGGTAAATATTAGATTAGAGTAAGGTATGGATTAGGATAAAGCGTTGAATTAGGATAAGGTATAGGATTAGGGTCAGTCAGGGTTAGGATTAGGATTAGGTTAGAGTTAGGGTTAGGGTTAGGGTTAGGGTAAGAACATAGGATTAGGATAAAAAGTTGGATTCAGAATAATCATTTCTTGATAGTTAATATCACTAACGCTAATATATTCTGTTCTTTTACATTTTTATATAGATTGATAATATGGATTATGATGAAGGTTTTCGAGAAGATGATTATGAAACACCACAAATTTTATTACAGTCTATGATCAGAAATATACAAAATGTGACAATCATCAAAATCTGGGAGATTAAACCGGAACTTTCACAAACAAAATCACATTTTGTTATTTTAATGTTAGATGAAAGTCATTCTTGCACCTGCAATTTCTTGATATCATTTGGTATTCCTTGCAGACATTTTTACAAAGTTCTTAGAAAAAGTCCAGAAGCTAAGTTTCATATTTCATTAATAAATCGACGCTGGTATCATGACTTAAAGCTTAGTATTACTGACGAGGAATTGGCTTTATTAAATGTAATATCAATTGTTGAAGATAGTTCCGAAGCAACAGTTTATAGAGAAATGAACTTTGGTTATATTCATCAAGTCCGTGATGGTCAAGTTTATACAGAAAAACTTCAAAAGCAAAATATGGAAGGTTTTTAGGAATTGCAAGAAAGGCTTTAGATTTAGCACAAAAATTAAACTGTTATAATGAGTTAAATGGAATACTTCAAACGTTTATAGATGAAAAACAACAAGAATTACTCCAAGATATTGATAAAGAGAATATCGAAAATAACCATCAAGAAAATAATGAACCTAATATTATTTGTTCTAATCCAGTGACTTCAAGGCGACGTGGACATCCTCCAAATCGGTATTTAAGTGAAGGAGAAACTGCAAACCAAAATAAGAAGCGAAATGTAACTAATTTGGAGTTAGAGCATACGACAGAAAATGAAGTTAATGATGGGGATAATAAAAAACAAAGAAGATGTAAGGGTTGTAAAGGTATAGGTCATGATTTGCGCAATTGTAAAAGTAAACCTCTTAGTGAAAGAAATTAAGTTTGTATTTGAGTTAATATTAGGATTGTATTTTACGGTACTATAATAATAAAAAATTTATTATGATGCTGCGGTTATTGCGGTAAATCACGTGATATTATATATAGGTGAAATCACCTGCAGTGATAATTAGAAATTTTCATATTTTTATTGAAGAAAAAAATAAGAATAAAATAAAAATAAAGGAAGTGAACGTAATCCTAGAAGAGCACAATCATTGAAATTAGTCAAATTAATCATCAGAATGAAGGCGATGCTCATTTGATTTAAAAATATCCATTACCTCTTGATAATAATCATCGTTATTGTTGTGTTTCACTTCTAAATTTTCAGTCCTAAGTGTACGACTTTCGCTAAGCTTTACCTATTATCATTAAATGAATTCATATAGAAGTATAAATACATATAGAAGAAGAAACAAAGGAAAACTATCTAAAGCTAAACTAGCAGAAGCACTTCGACGCAAATTGGACATAGGACAAGCGAACCCATATTTTCTACT